TGGGATCCCAGAAATGGGAAAATCCCGCTGGAAAACTGCCTTAGAATCCGGGAAATGGGAAAATTCCACTGGAAAACCTCCCTGGGATCCCAAAAATGGGAAAATCCCCTTGAAAAACGTCCCTGGATTTCCTGGAAATGGGAAAATCCAGCTGGGAAACTTCCCTGGGATCCTGAAAATGTGAAAATCCTGCTGGAAACTTCCCTGGGATCCCGGAAATGGGAAAATCCCGCTGGAAAACTGCCTTAGAATCCGGGAAATGGGAAAATCCCGCTGGAAAACCTCTCTGGGATCCCAAAAATGGGAAAATCCCGCTGGAAAACCTCTCTGGGATCCCAAAAATGGGAAAATCCCGCTGGAAAACTTCCCTGGATTTCCTGGAAAACAGCAGAGTTCGCAGGAAAACAGCGGGATTTTGAGGAGAAAAGCGGGATTTGAGTGCAAAACCGCAGCACTCTCAAGGATCCAGGAGGAACCCGGCAGAATTCCCAGGAATTTGCAGGAAAATCCTGACTTTTTCCGAGGGAAAACAGCGGAATTCCGAGGAAAACAGCGGGACTGAGGGAGAACGATGGATGCGGCTCCTCCGCCGCTAATTAACTCTGACAGCGCTAATTAACGTCTAATTCGTGCCTAATTAACCCCGTTAGGGACTCCCGCACATATTTATTGGCATTAACCCTTTCGGGCCGTTTTTAACCCGATGCGCTGCCTTGGTCGTGCCTGACCGCGAGGCCATTAAAAACCAGCGACTGTGCCGCGTGCTGTGCTGCGGGGCCCGGGGGGAACAGCGAGGGAAGCTTTATGCGGAGAAAGGCGGCGAAACAGCCGCGCTCCTCCGGCCAGCGCCGCTACGCGAGCTCGAGGCTTCACTAGGCCTCACTAGGCCGTGCGTTGCTAAGCAACGCGCGCTCTGACGTAACTTCCGCCGCGCCGCGTTCACCGCCTAGCAGCGCGGCGCGCTGCTTGCGTCACTTCCTCCTCCTCCTTCTCCCCTCACGCTGCCATCATGGCGGCCGTGGAGGTTTTCCCCTCTCCGGGCGAGCTCGGCGCGGCGCTGGCGCGGGCGGTGACCGAGGCCGCGGCCGAGGCGGTGGCGAGCGGCGGCCGCTTCACGCTGGGGCTGTCCGGGGGTTCTCTGGTGCCGCTGCTGGCGCGGGAGCTCCCGGGCGCCCTCAGCGCGGCTCCCGGTGCGGATCCCTCGCGCTGGCTCGTGGCGTTCTGCGATGAGCGCCTGGTGCCGCCCGAGCACCCCGAGAGCACCGCGGGCGCCTACAGGGTGAGGGGGGCCGGGGGGAACCGCGAGGGGCCGCTCCAGTGGCCACCAGTTCGGCCCAGTTTGGCCCAGTTCCCCTCTCAGTTCCCTCCTCCTTCCCTCAGCTCTTCCCGGTTCCTCCCAGTTCATCCCAGTTCATCCCAGTTCCCTCCTCATTGCCCTCAGCTCTTCCCAGTTCCTCCCAGTGCCCCCATTTCCCTGCCAGGCCTCCCCCAGTTCCTCCCAGTAACCCTGTCCCCATTCCCAGTGCTCCCAGTAACCCGTTTATCCCATTCCAAGCGCTCCCAGTGCTCCCAGTAAGGGTTTATCCCATTCCCAGTGCTCCCAGTAAGGGTTTATCCCATTCCCAGTGCTCCCAGTAAGGGTTTATCCCATTCCCAGTGCTCCCAGTAAGGGTTTATCCCATTCCCAGTGCTCCCAGTAAGGGTTTATCCCATTCCCAGTGCTCCCAGTAAGGGTTTATCCCATTCCCAGTGCTCCCAGTAAGGGTTTATCCCATTCCCAGTGCTCCCAGTAAGGGTTTATCCCATTCCCAGTGCTCCCAGTAAGGGTTTATCCCATTCCCAGTGCTCCCAGTAAGGGTTTATCCCATTCCCAGTGCTCCCAGTAAGGGTTTATCCCATTCCCAGTGCTCCCAGTAAGGGTTTATCCCATTCCCAGTGCTCCCAGTAAGGGTTTATCCCATTCCCAGTGCTCCCAGTAAGGGTTTATCCCATTCCCAGTGCTCCCAGTGCTCCCAGTAAGGCTCTGTCCCGTTCCCAGTGCCAGGTCCTGGCCCAGTTCCCCCCCCCCGGGCCGCGCTGTCTCTGGGTCCGGCCCGAGCTCGGCGCCGCCGCCGCCAGCGACTACGAGAGCCAGATCCGACGGGTACTGGGAGCACTGGGAGGGACTGGGAGCACTGGGAAGGGCTTGGGAGGAACTGGGAAGGGCTTGGGAAGACAACTGGGAGGGACTGGGGGAACTGGGAGGGACTGGGGGAACTGGGGGAGATTGGGAGGGACTGGGAGCACTAGGGGGGCAACTGGGGGATACTGGGAGCACTGGGAAGGGCTTGGGAGGGACTGGGGGGAACTGAGAGGGACTGGGAGCACTGGGAGGGACTGGGAAGACAACTGGGGGAGATTGGGATGGACTGGGAGCACCGGGAGGGCAACTGGGAGGGACTGGGATGGACTGGGAGGGACTGGGAATAGTTAGGAGGGAATTGGGTTGGACTGGGCAGGATTGGGAGGACAACTGGGAGCACTGGGAGGGCGACTGGAAGGGACTGGGATGGACTGGGAGGGACTGGGGAGCACTGGGAGGACAACTGGGAGCACTCAGAGGGCAACTGGGAGCACTGGGAGGGACTGGGAGCACTGGGAAGGGCTTGGGAGGGGAACTGGAAGGGACTGGGATGGACTGGGAGGGACTGGGGAGCACTGGGAGGACAACTGGGAGCACTGGGAGGACAACTGGGGGGAACTGGGAGGGACTGGGAATAGTGAGGGAGGAATTGGGATGGACTGGGAAGAACTGGGATGGACTGGGAGGGAACTGGGATGGACTGGGATGGACTGGAAGGGACTGGGATGGAAAATCCCTGGTCTGAACTGACCCACACTGGTCCCTACTGGTCTATACTGGTCCAAACTGGTCCAAACTGGTTTCTACTGGTCCAAACTGGTCCAAACTGGTTTCTACTGGTCCAAACTGGTCCAAACTGGTCCCGCAGGAGTTCCCAGGCCCGGGGGTGCCCCAGTTTGATTTGCTGCTGCTGGGGCTGGGCCCGGACGGTCACACCTGCTCGCTGTTCCCGGGCCACGCCCTGCTCCAGGTGCGCCAAATCCCCGGGAATTCCGGGAATTCCGGGAATTCCGGAGCCTCCACCCCCTCTTCCGCCCCTCCCCCCCTCGTTCCCGCCTTTCAACCCCAGTTTCCCTCAAATTTTCCTGGTTTTATTTTTAAGGAATTTTTTTTGTCAATTTTTGGGATTTTTTCCCTCAATTTTTTCTTATTTTTTGGGAATTTTTCCCTCAATTTTTTCTCATTTTTTTCCCTCAATTTTTCAGATTTTTTTCCTCATTTTTCCCTTGAGTTTTCCTCCATTTTTCCCCATTTTTTTCTCCATTATTTCCTCCTTTTTTTCCCATTTTTTCCCCATTTTTTCCCCATTTTCCCGCTGTTTTTTCCCGCTGTTTTTTCCCATTTTCCCCATTTTTTCCCAGGATTTTTTCCCGCTGATTTTTCCCATTTTTCCCCATTTTTCCCCATTTTTTCCCCCATTTTCCGCGCTGCTTTTTCCCGCTGTTTTTTCCCATTTTTTCCCCATTTTTTCCCCATTTTCCCGCTGTTTTTTCCCGCTGATTTTTCCCATTTTCCCCATTTTTTCCCAGGATTTTTTCCTGCTGATTTTTCCCATTTTTCCCGTTTTTTCCCAGGATTTTTCCCGCTGATTTTCCCCATTTTTTCCCCATTTTCCCACTGTTTTTTCCCGCTGTTTTTTCCCATTTTTTCCCCATTTTTTCCCCATTTTCCCGCTGTTTTTTCCCACTGATTTTTCCCATTTTTCCCCATTTTTTCCCCATTTTCCCGCTGTTTTTTCCCATTTTTCCCCATTTTTTCCCCATTTTCCCGCTGTTTTTTCCCGCTGTTTTTCCCATTTTTCCTGTTTTTTCCCAGGATTTTTTCCCGCTGTTTTTTCCCGCTGATTTTTCCCATTTTTTCCCCATTTTCCCGCTGTTTTTTCCCGCTGATTTTTCCCATTTTCCCCATTTTTTCCCAGGATTTTTTCCTGCTGATTTTTCCCATTTTTCCCGTTTTTTCCCAGGATTTTTCCCGCTGATTTTCCCCATTTTTTCCCCATTTTCCCACTGTTTTTTCCCGCTGTTTTTTCCCATTTTTTCCCCATTTTTTCCCCATTTTCCCGCTGTTTTTTCCCACTGATTTTTCCCATTTTTCCCCATTTTTTCCCCATTTTCCCGCTGTTTTTTCCCATTTTTTCCCCATTTTTTTCCCCATTTTCCCGCTGTTTTTTCCCACTGTTTTTCCCATTTTCCCCATTTTTCCCAGGATTTTTTCCCGCTGTTTTTCCCGCTGTTTTTTCCCATTTTTTCCCCATTTTTTCCCCATTTTCCCGCTGTTTTTTCCCGCTGTTTTTTCCCATTTTTTCCCCATTTTTTCCCCATTTTCCCGCTGTTTTTTCCCGCTGTTTTTTCCCATTTTTCCCGTTTTTCCCCCCAGGAGCAGGAGGCTCTGGTGGGGTTCCTGGAGGACTCCCCGAAGCCGCCGGCGCGGCGCGTGACGATGACGCTGCCGCTGCTCAACGCCGCGCGCTCCGTGCTCATCGTCGCCGCCGGCGCCGCCAAAGCGCCCGCCATCAAGGTCTGAGCCCGCGTTCTGGGGTTAAATCCCGGGGTTTTGGGTTAAATCCCGGATTTTGGCCTCAAATCCCAAATTTTTGGGGTTGAATCCCAGGTTTTTGGGGTTAAAACTGGGATTTTGGGGGTTAAAACTGGGATTTTTGGGGTTAAAACTGGGATTTTGGGGGTTTAATCCCGGGTTTTTGGGGTTAAAACTGGGATTTTTGGGGGTTAAATCCTGGGTTTTTGGGGTTAAATCCTGGGGTTTTGGGGGTTAAATCCTGGGTTTTTGGGGTTAAAACTGGGATTTTTGGGGTTTAATCACAGATTGTGGGGGTTAAATCCCAGGTTTTGGGGTTAAATCCCGGTTTTTGGGGTTAAATTCTGGAGTTTGGGGTTAAAACTGGGATTTTTGGGTTTAAAACTTGGATTATGGGGGTTAAATCCCGGGTATTTGGGGTTAAATCCCAGGTTTTGGCCTCAAATTCCGACTTTTGGGGTTAAATCCAGGGTTTTGGGGTTAAATCCTCTTTTTTTGGCCTCAAATCCCAGATTTTTGGGGTTAAAACTGGGATTTTTGGGGTTAAAACTGGGATTTTTGGGGTTAAATCCCGGATTTTGGGGTCAAATCCCAGATTTTTGGGGTTAAATCCTGGATTTCTGGGGTTAAATCCTGAATTTTGGGGCTCCAGGAATGACTCTGCGTCGAAACCCCTGAAATTTCGGGGTTAAATCCCGGGATTTCGGGGCTGCGGGGACGATTCCGCTCCCGAATCCCGGGATTTTGGGCTGAAATTCCCAAATTTTTGTGTCTCTCCTCAGCGGATCCTGGAGGGCCGGGAGGAATTCCCGCTGCCGGCCGCCCGGATCCGGCCCCGCTCCGGCCGCCTCCGCTGGCTCCTGGACCAGGGAGCGGCCCAGGAGCTGCAGATTCCCGCGGGAAAACACCCCGGGAATCCCGGAATTCCCGGGAAAAAAAACCCCGGAGGCGACGATCCCGACGGGAAGTGACGGAAGGTTCCGGAGATGGGATTTCCCCTCCCGGGAATGGAGGAATTCCGGTGGGAAAAACGCCCCCAAGGAATCGGGAATTCCGATGGAAAAAAGGCCCAGAAATTGGGAATTCCATGGGAAAAACGCCCAGAAATTGGGAATTCCATGGGAAAAATGCCCCAGGAATTGGGAATTCCCATGGAAAATGCCCCAGGAATTGGGAATTCCCATGGAAAAAAGGCCCAGAAATCCGGAATTACAATGGAAAAACCCCCCCAGGAACTGGGAATTCCGATGGAAAACCCCCCAGAAATCGGGAATTCCGATGGAAAAATGCCCCAGGAATCCGGAATTCCGATGGAAGACGCTCCAGGAATTGGGAATTCCCATGGAAAAATGCCCCAGGAATTGGGAATTCCCATGGAAAAATGCCCCAGGAATTGGGAATTTCAATGGAAAAAAGGCCCAGAAATCCGGAATTACAATGGAAAAACCCCCAGGAACTGGGAATTCCGATGGAA